GCCCCCCCCCCCCTTCTCCTTCCCTCTGTAGCCCTTCCAGACCCAGACTCCAGACTAGCCTCATCCTTGTAATTTAGATTAATTTCTTCCACATTTTCCTCAGGGATTAGGCTGCACCCCCACCCCCCAACACACATATACACAGGCACGCATACTCGCCTCACCCCCCCACCATAGTTGCTTAATGCTCTCATTATTGAACTACATTCCCCTCACAGCTAACCCCCACCCCTGGCTCTCTACACACACACTCAGAAAGGAAAAACTCCCTCAATGCTGATCAGTGTTGATCTTTTATGGTCATTAAATGATTCCCCTGATTATATGAATGAAACTGCTTCGACTTATTTAACTTCATTAACAAAATCGCCTGCTCCAAAGTCAACTCAGAGTTATTGCCCTTTTAAATGCTGTCACCAGATGAGTTATTAAGTATTTTCACTACGCTACTTTTCTAAATGGGAGCAATTACTGGCCAAAGTTGCCTGTTATGGAACAAAGAGGAGGAGTTTTTCGTCTTTTTCCTCACGTCTCAGAGGTTTTCTTGTAAACAAATCATGGTGAGCACTTAGCGGAGCATCACTGCACTGGACATCGATAAAAAAGAGATGGTTGTCAGAACGTTACAAAAACCATTTCACAGTGAACATAAGTCTGAGTCTGGCTCCTCCAGGCAAAATCTTGTTGTCCATGTTGTCCGACTGCAGTTGAACACAACACAGCAGGCAAATACCAGCAGAGTATACTCACCGTACCTCCAGGTGTGTGGATTTAATGCCACACAGGAGCGAGTCACGCTGGGAGCAGACTCAACTCAAACATTCCTCAAAACAAAAAGGAAATACTGTAACCTGTGTAAATCCACAAATGTAGACATTAATCATCACCAACCTAAAAAGGTTGTGATTCATCTATCAGTTGTATTTTCCTGCCAAATTGAGATTCTCCATTGGAGTTCTCTGGAGTTTGTGTGTTGTGTACTAATTCCTGCTTCTTTGTGCATGTACAGTACATTGTTTATTCTTTTATCTTTTATTTTCTCCCTTCCCATTTTCTTCTCCCTGGAAAGCGTCGTTTTGAAAACTGCTTCATGGAATTAGTCATTCAGTGTGAATTTTATTTGTTCCATTTACATAAAAGTACCTTAGACACATGTATGAGATACTGTTTGAGTAGTGAGACGAGAACATTAGCTTACATTGCAAACTAGAATGGGATTTAATAGAGCACATGCCTCCACCAAGGCCCATCAGTCTCCATCAAGCTGCACCAAACAGCACAAACAGATATCATTCCCCTAAATACGCCAGATTTTTTGTTCATCAAAACCCATGAATTATTCCCTGTCAAATCAATAAAAAGTGATTTTAAAAAATGAAAATGTATCAGGCTTTTTCTTGGCTCCAATCCTTTCACTATTTCTCTGGAATTTGTTTAGTAGTTGTTGCGTAATCCTGCTGACAACAAAGAAATAAACAAGCGAAAAAACGTACAGGGTTGAAATAATACAGAGAACAGTCCTCAGCACATAATTTTATATCTTATAACCAATCACTCCAGGGAAATAACCTGAAGTGAAGGATATATTAATAAAAGACTAAAACCATCATAAAAGTCACCATTGAAACAAGCATCTTAGAAAGAGAAAACTCATTTTAACAAATGAAAACAATCTCCTGCTTTAAAGTTGCTTTTCTGAAGATGTAATTTGATTTTCAACAAAAACAGTTTTACCTATTTTTCAAGTCCGCTAACTTGTTCTTGATCATCTTACTCCAGTATTTAAATCATTGATGAATATGTGGGCCTGTGCTGGATCTTTTTTTTGGTTCACACCTATGTCACCATTTTTTTTATTTTTATTTCTATCCCATCTTCTTTCTGAAAGTTTCCTTAATGACAATCTTAATTATCTGGAGATCAGTTTGATCCTCTTTTCTTTTTCTACCACACATTTTCTCCTCAAATGATCAACTTGCTTCCTGTATTTATTGAACTAGACCTTGACTCCTGATTTACACATGAGAATCTCCTGTCATCACGATGACTTATCGCTGATGACATGGGGTATTAAGACTACGGTTTAACTCATAAAGTGGTTTCAGTGGTCGGGAAGTGCAAGCAAGCGATTAGTCTGACTGCAAATGAGCCTTAATGTACACCAGATTTCAAAAGCAGTCGTTGAAGGGAAGTGGTTGGGATGAATGGAAAAGGGTAAAAGTAAAGTTGAAAGTATGTGGGAACATGTCGGGTAACAGTATGTAACAGTACGGGGGTGTATGATTAGAATGCAATAATCGGGATGCTTGGAAGGAGCTGATTTCCTGTCCTGTATTTTTCTCCTTTAGATAAGCTGTTCAAAAGGAAACTATTCACTAAAACTGTTTTAAAACACTTTATTTAAGGTCAACTACATGAATTTCAACTGGCTCTTTGATTTTTAAAAACATTGCATTACTTGAATGCTCTACAGCTACTTAATAAGGCAAAAGTATTTCTTCTGGGGGTATTGTAGTAGAATACATGTAGATTTCTGTATTTTGGTTTATAATTTTATGAATATACTGAGCTTACCTTCCCTGTCAACTTTTGTACTTTCTTATTGATCAATGAAAATTGTGACTCGCAAAGAAATGAAAGCCGTTCTAAACTGTTGTCATTTTACAATTTATTAAAGAAATAATTAAATTCAATTTTAGAAAGAAAAATGTTGCATCAAGTTTGTACTTTTTGGCACTTTTTCCATCTTTCCAGACACTTTCATCATGTGACTTGCTGTGACCTACATATAAAGGTCATTCAGTCAGAGCTGGCATGAAATACAACTACAGTTCACTGATTCTGGAGTTGACAAGTAGCCCTGGGCATCCTAATGCGATCAAAAGAGTTTATTAGTATGTCAGATATAATCTCTGGAAATAAAAGGAGTATAGGAGTTTTCTGTTTTCCATAAAAGAAGGAGAAGTGAAGGCAACAGGTAACCTTAACAAGTCCGCGCTTGCCTTTGTTTCCCAGATTCATGAGGTGTGTCAGAGGTGAATTACTCAGAATGTCTCACGGTTGAGACGAAAATGTTTGACCAGTAACTACGTTGGCTGTGTTTTGGAAAACACATGGTAAGTTATGACACATTGAACAGGTGCATTATGGTCTGATTCAAAAAGACAAAGTCGTTTTCTGGTGCTAAACAATTCTCACCACTGTATTTTTTGATAGTAATTTCTATACGTGGTTTATCTTCCCTGATATTTAACATGCAGGAGTTCAAACCTAAAACTCACAAGTTGTGCTCAGAGAGGATCTCCTCTGCTGACCATATATATGTGAATGGGACACGTGTATGTTTAATATGTCTGTGGAGATTCTCTGTCAACCAGTTGGCTGTCCTTCTAAAAGCTATTCAAAGGCAATTGGACATCTCACCTCTCATTTTCTGAAAGCCTTCTCCAGCTCAGTCCGACAGTTTAAGGCCACCATAGCAAACCCTGCGAGTGATAACATGAGAGAGAGAGAGAGACAGAGAGAGAGAGAGAGAGAGAGAGAGAGAGAGAGAGAGAGAAAGAGAGAGAGGGCAGAATGAATAATCAAAGCATCAGGACAGGGAGAAAGAAATCCTCCCTTTTTCTCCCTCCGTCAACCTTCAGCCATACCACCTTCCCCTTTTCTACCATCTCCTCCCATTATCTACTCTCTCTGAGCTGAGGGTACAAGCTAACACGAGGAGTAACTGAAGGCAGTTAAAGTCAACCGCTGTGAGGGCAGTGATCCACCGAGTTGACAGGTCTGGTTAAACAGGTTCTGAGGGGAGAGGCTGATACTTGTTTAACTGCAAGGTATGGCACTCTGCTGCTGCTGCTGCTGCTGCTGCTGCCTCTGGAACATTTAGCCTGGCTTGTGTAAGACGCTGGTTAAACCTACTGACCTCCAGAGCAGGATATGTAAATGTGCAATTTGTTTTTACACATATACCTGGTTAGAGTCGAGATAATTTCCTGGAGAGTTAGATTTGCAGGGTCGGGCGGACCTGTGAGCTTAACATAACGTGGCATAACGGATGTTTTTAGTTTTCTGGATGAGATCAAAGACACATTTCCCGCCTGGTCTGGAAAATGAAGCTTATTCTATTCTATTCTCTGCAGCACATATGAGGAGTAATGTTGATACAATATGCTGTGGTGGATTACAGCACTGCAGTTATGCTTATATGTCCAACGTTAATGCTCAAATGTGTTTCAGTCAGCACTGGTTTGGAGTTACTCTGGCTCAGCCGTTTAGCAGTAAACTCCTGAAACACATAAACAGACAGACCACATGAATCAGCAGGGACTGGCCAGGCAAGTTATGATTAAGCAAGCTTGCGCCACATGTAAATCCCATCTGCAGTTTTGCATTGCTTTGTTTTCTCACACACATCAAAGGAATTGTCATCTGCAGGGTGAAACTTGCAGTTCCACATTTCCATAGATGAAATACACCTTTAAACTCAAAGCAGACTGACTCCACACAGAGAGCACACCTGCTCTAAAACACAGAGAATACAGGGAATGTTATGGGTAACAAGTGATGAGCTTCTAGTGTAAACTAGGCAGTATGTGTCAATAGCTTAAGCTTCGCTAAGTTTAAACATGAACAAGCCATTTGTCCGCCCTCAGCTATCTTTGCTCATCACATGATGTACTTTTGAGGTCTATGCCTTCACTGAACCACACAGCCTATTTGTGAAGCTAAGTGAGAGCAGATAATGATTGCTACTGTTCCCATTCGTTTGGGGTTTTTCTTTGGTGTTTATTAATAGGAATATTTTCCAACACATGACTAAACCATCATCTGTGAAATACTGCTGAAAAGGCTACAGAACAATAGCGCTATCCATTAACAAAGTGTGTGTGTGTGTGTGTGTGTGTGTGTGTGTATTGGGCTCAAGCGGCATCACTGACTCACTGAATCAGACTTTAGTCTTTTTTTTTTATTTTCATTTTTCCTGAAACTTTAAAACAGTTTTTTTTTTTTTTTTTTTACATATTTTCAAAAAAGGTATATCATGCCCACTTCCTAACCTCTACTCGATAAAAAACTAACCCATTTATAAAAGTTTAACACATCATCATCATAAAAAGTTAAACCATACACCAGAATGATACCATTATTTACACAAGCCCATTAAATTACAACATAAATTAGAAAATATTTACATCCAGGACAAGACACTGGATAAAATTCTATGTGTGGAATTTAATGTCTAATTAAAAGATTTTTGAAGAAGGAAATATGTACATTTACACACACTCTCACAACATGCATACACTCCGGCAGGACTAAACTGGTTGGTGGATTGATGTCAACATGAGGTTTTTAAATACTAATGATGATTAATACCTAACAGTCACAAAAATATTGTTCTCACTGCCTGGTATAAAAGATAGAGGAACAATGGAAGCACTGCTATGCCTGTAATCCACATGAACACTGAAGAGGCTTCTATTATAACGACTTTGAAGTCTCTGGTTTCTGACCAAACACAGACTGACAAACCAAAAATCGTCAATTCTTATTCAGGCTTACATAAGATTCAAATCATCTCTCGTGAAACAAAGCACAATAACACTGGAGCCATTTTGAAGTGGTTGTACAAATCAAGCATAAAAAAGTAAAGAAAACGAAGTGGATATTCTTCTCTCTCTTTTTCTCATATAAAAATTGTCCTTTTGCAAGTCCATTGAGACACAGGAAATCAGTGGATTTGCCTCCAGACGGAGCAGAAGGGGGAAAGCTGAGAGGAATTCACAGCCACAGCAACTCATCTTGAAATGATGTCCTCTAGGGAGAAAAAAAAACAGTATGCACTTTGTTCTTTTTCCTCTTCTTGTCAACAGAGTGCAGGTCCCATGGTTGTAGCGTCGGCACATTGGCAACTGTATAGGACTGCAGAGTGGTCGCTATGATATGGTCTGTAATACATCTTCACAGGAGGCGCTCCCATTAGGATCATTCCACGGGCGTTAACCGTAGGTGCCAAAACAGACTGAACTGCAGCCGGCTGTGACAAGTTTTTAGAAATCCTCAACTTCTAAAAATATATAAATTTAACAGTGCGAGCATACAGTACGTACATACACAGTCACGCACAAATTCAGCTTTCAAAAAGACAATACTAAATATTGATTTTAAAAAAGTCCAAAAAGGGCAGACAGGGCAGCAAGATTAAGGGGCTCGGGGCGGGGGGGGTTCTCAAGTTTGTAGGGATTCTCTTGTGAGCTCTCATTTCCTGTGCTTGTCCATTTTGTCGGTAGATTTGCTTCCACTGTCTGAGGATCCCTGGTTGTCGTTGCCAGAGCTCAGGTACATCTTGTCCACTTGTTTGAGCGCCTCGTTCAGGTAGTTCTGCAGTGAGGTCATGGCGGCGCAGATGGCCGGAGAGCCAAAGCCATGAGTGATGAGGCTGAAGTGGGTCAGGCAGCCTTGGATTCCAGGCTCCATGATGGGAGCCGGCCGAGAGTTTCCCAGAGGTGATCGATCCTGAGTGAGCAAGTCAGTAAACTCCTTGCAGATTTGCCTGAAGGTAGAAAAAAAACTGATTTAGGAGGACGGGGAAATATTTACACATCTACTGATTCACTGTGGCCTGAGTGCAACAAGATGACACTGCAGATAATTCAATAAGCAAAATGCTCCGGTCATCCATGAGATTCAATGCAATTTATATACATCAATCCAGGGATACTCACTTGGCAGCAAGGAGCATATTCTTCCGAGAGTTAACCTCATTGCGTTCTACGTGCGGCCTGCCGAGGTATTCAGCAATCGCCTTTGCAGGGAACTCCGTCTCACATACGTAACCAAAGTCTCTCGCTAAATGAACAGCTTCACCTGGAAGAAAAGAACGAGGAATAAATTACTCAAGTAAGTTGAGGAGAAACGTGCTCCTGATCTCAAACTAAGACTGTATGTTTATGAATAAATAAAGATTATCATTATTTATGTATGCATTATCAGAGGAGGCCCTTTCACACTAGTCAAAGATGTATTAGAAAGCTGGTCAGCCCCAGCAATTTATCAATTTGCAGCTTCACACTAGCGCTCTGCTTCGGACGTGATTACCCAAGCATCAAGGCACATGAAGAGAAGCAGCTGAACGACAGAATAATCAGCTGTGCTCATTCTTCTGGCTCCAGGGAGGAAGAACTAGTGAGATGAACATATTTCCGTCTTGAGGGTGGTTTGACTTGCATGGTCATAATGGGTTTATGTGGATAAATGCTAGCACAGACTGCCCGTGGCACAAACAGTACCACTTATTGATAGACACGCACATCATTTGAGGACGCAGGCAACCATTCAGAAGCACAAGATTTAAGGTCAGCTGGCCCTCCTGGCGAGTCGAACACAAGATAACAAGGCTTAATTCAGCTTTGAAGGTCTCTAAATAACATGGGCCTCCAGTCATTCTCCTCCACAAAATCATCAGCCCATTTAAAAAATTAGGCATGTAGAGGAGCATGGGAGGGGAAAAAACCTTTTCTACCTTAGCCCGCGGCAAGAAGTTGTGATTAAAGTGATACTGTGATCACAGTTAGGCATCACTGATGATGATGATGTGTTAGTATTCAAGGCTTTGACAGGGGAAGGTAAAGGTGTTGTGTCGTCATCGTAACTACGTAAACTGCCTGACATTAAATAACTGAATAACTGTGGCCGTGTTACACGGTGCAGACGATTTAAAGAAGATTGATATCACAGAAAATACACCTAACTGTTATATTGATATCCAGTGTTACCCCCTCTCTTTGACTCAACCCACTTCTCTTCCCAATTTCTCTGATAATGCCCCAACCGGTCCAGGCAGGTCGCTGAAAATGTTGGGTCTCTCTATAAACTATTAAGTCTCAACCTCACTATATAAAGTGCAGTGAGATAATTATACAATTGTGCAGAATTCATTTTTTCATAAGGGTTAAAAAGACGTTAACCTCAAAATATGAAAGACTGAGTTAAACAGGTCTTTGATGATAACAAGAATCTTGCATTTACTCATCAGCCCCTTCATTAAAAACAACTTCTTACGGAAACAAGTTCCTCAAGAAAAAAAGCCTTTGCACCAGTCACATTGTCTTTATTCCAATAATGAATGGCGTTTGGAGAATGCCTCAAGATGGTTTACAGTGATTAAAACACACATGCTATGTCGAAGAGATTGACGTTCTCACATCCTCTTACTATTAGAGCGACATTCCAGTTGCGGGCAAACAGCAATTACACCTGAGAACCTGCTCTGAACCACTGAGTGACATGGCATACCTTCTACGAGTGAGGTAAGTAGAGTGACGTTGGCTGCCTTCCTCCTTCCTGCCGGCAGGTTCAGCCCAATTTTATCCAGCTTTTCTCTCAGAGAGCGACCGCCATTTTTTGACTTGGCTCTGCAGGAGAACACAAAAACACATGGTGAGTCCAAAGCCATTAAGTCATTCATAGATTATTCACAATAACATTTTTTTTCCACATTATGTGTTTGTTCAGGAAGGATTATAGGAAATGAAAAAAAGATTTGGCAAGTTTTTATTATGGTGATTATTTATTTCTTTTAGACAAACATGATGTGGAACGAACAGAATAGATTAATGGGACTATTGTGATTTCGACTGTAGCTCACACAGTAAACAGGACTTGTCAGATGAGACCTCTCACTTATCCTATACTTAAAAAACACAAGTTAGGCACAAACAGCCTCTCCTGACCTAAAAACACTGAAACAATTCCACTCAAAAAAGCATAGCAGAGAAATCACTCATACACGTGTTTGCAGAAACACTTAAACTCCGCACTTGCCATGGCCAATTCAGTTTTCTGCATGACAGGAGAGGAGCAGGCTCTCCCTCTCCGTGGCGGCTGAGAGGGGGAGCATCTTCAGGGAGGCGTGTGTGTGTGAGTGCCCCCCCCCCCCCCCCCCCCCCCCCCCCCGCTGTCCCTCAGATAACGATCCTCCTATTGCTATATGACCTACTTAAAACTGACTATGATTGTTTGTGTGTGTGTGAGTGTGTTGGTGTGTGCACATGTCAGCATTAACACAGACACATGGGAAGTGGCAAACGTGCACTCCAAGCACAAAACGCTCCATTCAGGACATACTGTAACCTCCCAGTCCCTCAGCAGACTACCACACTAACATATGTGCCATAAGGTCAACTGCTCTGCCACGGATAAATGTACGCACGCTGCGGCGCCTGACAGACGCGCAAATACACCCAGTGAGTCTTTAGATTGGTACTAACTGCGTTGATGTAACCTATCCCCAGAGGAAGCAGAGAACCAAAATTGCAGACCACACAAAGAATGTCACGAAACGTATGCAAAAAAAACTGATGAGCCACAGCAACTGAGGCGAGCTGTGCTTTTGGAAAAGTCTTCCCCATGGGCTGCTGAGCTTCAGTCAACAGATCGCAGGCCATTCACAAGTGAGACAATCACACAACCTTATCAACAGCTCGCAGGCAACACAGCTGTTGATAAAAAACCAACAAAATGAATTATGCTCTGCTTAGTTAGCTTTGATTTGTGTGAATCAGTGTGAGTGTATTTCTATGTTGAGCTCTGACCTGCGTAAAACCCCTCCCAGGAGCGATGCGTTGAGACACTCTGGGGGTGACAGACGTCTCTGGACCTCTGCCACGGTCACCTTGTACTTGGAAGTGGAGCTCAGCAGGGAAAGGCGGCCTGGCACGGAGCAGAACACCTCCGTGGGATTTGATACCATGCCCAGCAGGGACTCTTTCTGGAAGGGAAGACCCAGTGCATTTCCTTTGGGTAGAGTGACGGGACCTGCAGAGTGTGGAAAAAAACCCCATGTGTGAAAGAGTGAAAAAGGAAAAGAAACAGAATTGCAATAGAATTTGTTTATACATGTGCACTTTTCCTGTGTGTCTGCGTAAGCTCAAATCAGCATAATTCCCATAGTGTATGCAGCTCTGCGCAAGTGAGAAAAACAGTGTCTGCCGCACTAAAGTATACAAGAATCAACTGTTAACGGTTGAAACACTATGTGGTTTTCCAAACACTGGATGGTTTAAAATGCCCTCATGCCAAACACCATCCACAAACAGGTACACACATACAGACGGCCTCTTATCTGAGCCACAGATTTACCTCAGAACAAAAAGAAATGTGTGTCTATTTCTGGCTGCCCCCTCCCAAACAAAAATGTGTTCACAGATTCAAAGATATTTAACCACCCACAAAAGCACTGACAGTCATCGGACAAACAGAACAGTACAGCACACTACAAAAACATGGCTATCTTCATCCTCACCCGCAAGAACGCCCCCCTGATAATAAGTCCTCTGTAAGCGATCAAGGTTCCTGCCACCTCGTAGTCCTAATACTGAGACAGAAATCACAGAGTCACATGAGTGCTGTAAGGCTCCTCTGGGGCACATGCTTGGGAATGACATCCCATTGTTTACAAGTGGAGAACCTAGAGTGCCCATAGCGTGCCCTTGAGCATGGGAACAATATAATGAGCCATCACTGATTTATGTAACAAATGCAGACTGTCTGGTTTATTGTGGCGTGCACATGGCTCTCTGCTTGTAAGCGTGCAACATGATACTGTCACACTTTGTGCAATAATATATATATATATTTATATTATCGCATAAATGTCATGAACTCTCACTAATGCAGTATATTTATCTATCTATCTGCAGTATTTTTCCTGTATGTGGTTCAAATTAAAAAAATAAGAAAAGAGAGACTAATAAAATCGCTGGAGCTGATCTTTCTCTAACTCAAAGTCTGTTTAATGGAGCCATGATGACAAAACAGCAGGAGTAAGTTCCCTCAAAACAGTTCATGTCCCAACAAATTACTGAGCTGTCCTTCACATGCGAGCCTAATGCCACACCCCACCCAAAGCTGGCTCTGCAGAGCCAAGACACTGCTGCTTCAAGATCAACTCGTAATTTCCTGTTAACGTGATCTGAAAAGAGCTGCAATTGCGAGATTAGCCGGCCTAAAGATGATCCAAAGCTTTCCTCCTCTCTCGCACTCAACACCGAGGGTTGTGATGTTGCTCAATTTTCATGTCATGTCAGCTGCAGACTGACATTTCTTCTGTTTTTTTTTTTTTGAAAGGAATCTGTTTTGTTTTTCCACTGGGCATCCATTCAAGCACCTTCACCAAAAGAATAGGCTGAGCTTAGATAAATGCATCTCACGGTTATGAGGATTATCACTGTGTGCAAGTGTGAGCACAAACAGGAGACTCCTCCTTTGCTGTGCCTTCACACTGAGTGGCGTGACATGTCGCTATCAAAGTAATTGTTTTGACATTTCGAAATATGAAGCGGAAAAAAATACAGGCCTTACAGTACATTCAACTGCTGCATGTTTATCTAGTTGTACAGGGCACATGTACTTATGGATTTTCCCAAAATCTTTTTCCCAAACTTTTACACTAATTGTTCAAATAATCATAAACATGGTATTAACTCACCTTTCTTGATGACTGTCTGATCGGCCATTATAATACTGTGGTCATCTACATGCTGACAAAAGAGAAAAGAGGCGACAATAAGCAAACACATGCACAACTCAAAACAGACAGATGATGCAAGCTGAAATTAATTTCTGAACGGTGTATCCATGTAAGTCATGAAATTTAAAATATGTTTAAATGAACATTTCCTCTTTTAAGCCTATTTTCTGCTAAACAAACAAAAAAAAGTACAAGGCCTGATTCACTTGCGATGTTTTCTATTGGGAATTCAGTGAACTATTATTTAATCCTCTGTGTAATAAAAACAGCGTCTCTAAATGTTACGATAAGCAATAAAGATCATTAATTTTCTTTACTGCATGATTGTGTGTATAAAAGAAACCTGGTTGTATTGTATGCTTGTCTTGAATCATTAGAGCAATGACTGTATTACCTTTAACTGTCTTTTTTTTTATACAAATTACTTTTATATTGTTTGGAACCACGTATTTAGTTTGTTTCTGTCAATAAAATAATAATGGTTTTCCATAATGTGTCACAAGCACATGCACACACATGGCTTCCACACAACTTTAGCTCTCAGTGTAATTTCCAATCATCCACTCACTTGAACATCCTCCAGTCCGTGGCCTATGTCGTGCATCCCCATGCTGTCACTGATGACCGACGACTCGAGGCTATGTGCGTGCTGGGGGAGCAGCTCGGGCCGGCGGAAGCCTTCCCTCCTCACCCCGGAGGAGCCTCCGTCCAGGCCCAGGATCTGACTCGCCAGTCCGCTCCGAGCGTGCGCGCCCAGCCCCTCCTGGCCCTGGCGGCCGGGCCACGGCTGCTGCTGGTTCGACGACTGCGACTGGTGAATGGAGTTGATGTTGAAGGGGTCGCCCAGGTGGGAGTAAGGGTCGTTGGGCTGTGGGTAGGTGATGGGCTGGTAGGGAGGAGGGAAGTACGGGGGCTGGAAGTCCGAGCTGGCCGAGTGTGAGAGGGCGGGGGACGGGCTGTAGAGGTGCTGGCTGACCGCGGGCAGGTGAGGCAGCCGCGGGTTCCCGTTGCTGCTGCCATCGTGTCTTTCCTGCGGAGACAGACAGGACAGGATGAGACAGAGGACAACAACACGGCAGGTGAAGAAAACATTTGTCCCTCAAGGGAATAAAGTGTCCTTTAATGTGTCCACTGAAAAGAATGCTTTAGATGCATGAATAAAGAATTTAATGAAAGTTAATGTGAAACGTACGCAGCTATTCATCCTCTAATAAAATGACTTTATATTTAATTATGGTTATTCTCACTGGTTAGTAAAGGCCCGCATTATAATGAAGCACAATAATAAAGTTCTTATATTAATATTGATATTATTATTATTATTATTATTATTATTATTAGGCTTCTGTTTTTTTTATAGAAGTACATATTTAATTATAGAAGACGCAAAATCAATTGTACCTGGTTCTAGTTTTTTTACTTTTCTTTTAAAGTTGACGTTTAAGCAGCTTTTCATAACATTATGACATTTTATTGTACATTACTTTATACTTTACTTTACTTTATATTTCTTCATTATAATTATGAGGAAAATCATCAGCCATTGTTGTTGAATCTCAAACTTTCCACGTCTCTCAAACAGCAGTTTGAGTTTGTCTGTTTTTAGTCTGGAATAAACTCACCTCACAGTCATCCTCATATTTCACGTTGTCGGCTAATTTCCACAACATTGTGACAGAGACGAGGAAAAACCCTCCTTTACCAAAAAGATGAAGAAAAAAAAGATTTAAATCTGTGACGTGAATCGTCGACTGCGCGTTTTAATCCAGGTATGGAACCCTGAGGAGCTTCCTGCTGCTCATGAACTCTTTCGTTTGCTCTGGAGAAGTCGGAGGCTGGAGGAACCGACGCACTGACGGATGGTCCGGCCGCAGATGTGAGTGTCCACAGCCGCTCTGGGACAGAAGGATCACGGTTGGTGCTTCCCCGCCGCTCCGGTCACTGCGCTCCGCGGCTCTGCTGTGGAAGTGGGCGACGGCGGCGCATTTAAGAAACTCGACTCCCTCTTATGGACAAACCCGAGACGTTCAGTCTTATTGGCGCAAACATGAAGTATATCTGCACAGTCGCTCGCAGTGGGCGTCACCCTGCGCCATGATGCAAGTATATGGGGGGGGGGTTATTGAAATATGGCTGATTGGCGGGAGGATGCACCAATCAGAGGTCGGTGCGTCTGTGCAGCTTCCAGACATGTGCACCCAGGGGGGCTTCACTTTATAGATCCATAGAGAGTGACCCCCCCCCCCCCCCACACACACACTGGTTTACTTTACTGTGTTTGTTTCCATATCCTCAAGTCCCTTCAACCAGGGCTTTTATTTTGAAAGGATCACCTGCATGGTCTCGATCGATATCTTGATTGTTTGATAATGGCTCTGAAACAAGTCACCCATTTATCCATGAAATGACTCATTTGGTTACTTGTTGCTGGAGCTGTGATGCCTATCTGTAAAAACCAACAAACAAACACACTAAATAATTGAACTCTTTTTTGCCGGGTTGCTAGGTTACCGAGTTCTGAAGATGGGTACAGTAAGGTTGCTATGGGATCGAGCCTCTCTACAATGTTTTAAGTGTTGTCGACAAGAAACACACGTGTTAAACAGGCTGCATCGATGTGAGCGGAGGTAATGAAGTGTTTAATAGGATCTATTATTTATTCATGTTTTTATTCTAATGATGTTAAAGGAAGGCTATGTCACTATATAAATAATTTCCACTATTACAAGGGAATCATAGTATTTTCATTTCAACTTATAACAAGAAGCATCATTTGTTAATAATCATTGTTTTTATAATAATTATTATTCTTATATCCTCATCTGCTGCAGAGAATAACAGCCCTCTCACTTTATGACACTAAATCCAAAACGATTATCAGCTGAAAATAAAAATGCATTTCTCTGAACTGAACTGATTCATTAAAGAATAATATGCGTGGAGATGAAACCTTCGCTTTTCTAACGTGGGTGTTTTCACGGTGTGGTGTTGAAGTGCTCGTTACAAACCGCAGTGAGCCTCAGGGGCTTAACAACATCAGAGTCTGAAAAACCTCTAAAGCTCAAAGGAGCTCAACAAACAACTCTTTCTCAACTTCATTTACATTTCTGCTGGAGCTCTGCGACGTTCACAACAAAGCTGCTTCTGGAGCTTTTCACATGCACCACATCCCCAAAACAGGTCTAATGATATTTGTCTTTTAATTCTAACTAACTGCGTAATTATGTGGATCAACTTATTCTAGTGCCTATAAACATGAATGTACCCCGTTTCCATTAGAGGCTATTTCATTCATTAGTGGAGTGTAATTTGACGAGCAGGCTCCTACATGTCAGATTATAATTTGTGAGATTAATGGACAGACCTTTGTCTTTAAGGAGAACAGCCTGTGGCGTCAGTCCTGCACCCAAGCTGTGATGAACGTCTGCGCATGGGAACAACGGGACGTGGGCGACTGCGGATTATCTTTTCTTTTTTTTTCTTTTCGCGAGTTGGTCCTTGGCTTGTTGTGATGCGAAGCAGAAGTGAAATGCGCACTGATTAAATGTTATTTTACGTTGGGATCTTTAAGGAGGTTAGGCACGCTTGGCCTGACGGTGAGGTTTCCTGCAGCCCTGGTGCTCAAGCTCGTCATTTTAATGAAGACTGTGAAAACCGGCTCAGCTCAGGATGTCAGGTGAAAAGATAGAAATGCACACAAGGCAGGAGAGATAGGAACAATGATGATACAATAATAATAGTTAAAGAAAAAGAATAAATGAGTTATGTTAGTGATTTTCGAACTGGTTTGGCGTGGCTTTTTACATTTAATTCCAAATGCGTCTTTTATTTGTAGGAACACCCCCTAAAACAGCCCCTAATGAATACCACGATAATATTTAGGTTAATCATGTTATCACCTATATTTCCTTTCATATATGTATAAACTATATATTACAGTAAGATATGTTTGCATTAGTCACTGATTATCATTCACTGAGCATTTGAAACCTTTATGATAATAATAACAATAATAATAATAGAAATAATAAATGTCATCTGTATAGCGCTTTTTAAGGAACTCAGACCCTTTAAAGATTCAAACGTTAAAAATATAGTATCATTATATTGAAAGCAGTTCTGAGGAGGTGGATTTTAAGAGCAGATTTGAACGTTCTCCTGTTTTCTGTTTTCACAAATAAATAAATACGATTTTAGGAATTATATACAATTTTACTGTGTTTTTTGTGTCTATATTATTTGAATGTTTTTGTCAGTATCTCTTGACTCTTATCTCAGCGACTCTCTCTTGTTTATGATCCAGTAGTTCTTCCATAAAGCGCACAAGGCGCCGCGCTGGATTAAAACCAGGTGACTATCACAGGAAGTCATTAAATACAACATTGTTAAACAAGAAAAAAGAAAACAAAGCGATAAATATGGTGCAGGTTAAATCCTCTGGAGGAAAGAGAGGAGGAGAACAGACGAGTGGACTCACCCTCCAGTCTATCCTCTCCAGCACAGACATCTGAAGGCTCCGGTCGCAGCGGATGAGTGAAACCGGCTCAGTTTTACATTGCTGACTTCACCTGAGGGCCGAGCACTGCGCATGCGCCGTCCAGCGTGCTACACCTGAGTGGGAGTAAATCAAAACAATTCACCTAAATATAAAAAAATCTTTTCTCTCTATGTATTATTATTACAAAGCAACATGCATCTTTATATTGATTGAGGCTAGGGAAAGAGCTTAATGCATTATATGTATATATATATATATATATATATTATTGGAATGTAAAATAAATATATGACTCTTAAGATTGCACGTGTAAACAAGCAAGATTTATTTTACCTTCATAGTGATCTGTTATTGATTCGTTTTTTAAAATGTATTTAAAGAAACAATGTGACACTCAGATAATGTGGAAAAGAAAAGAAGTGGGGGGAATTTTCAAGATGAGGTAATTCCACCCCCCAAAGCCACATCGCCCCGGGGGCTGACCGAAGGAATCTGCTTTCAAAAAGCCACTGAAACTTCTTTAAAGGCCTAAAATGGCTCCTGTTATCTGATCTGCAGCAGACTTCGGTTTAAAGTAATGAACAGATCAAAGTGTCTGAGAGAGCTGCTCACACATGTGGCTCAGAGAAAACGGCCTCACCTTTCTGATGCGCGGCCCCGACACCTGCCGCTCACTCACCATCAGACACCTCGCACCGTGATGGAACTGATGTGCGTCTCTTTAAAGCTTTTATATGTCTGGAAAAAAAAATGAAATTCATTCCATTCAATTGTGCTTTAAATGCAAAACACCAGCTGTAAGAAGATTTTATTAAAAAACTGGAAAATCAAAGGCCTGACTCTTAATTTCACTTGATTTCCAAATCCAATGAATAAGAGTCATAGATTAATGTTATCTCAATTCAATAATCACAAATGTCACATGGAAATCACAAACCGGATGAAAACGCATTTCTCAGCAGTGACTCCAAGGCCTATTATGGCCCCTGACTGTTCCACCATCCACTGTATGATACATCTATCCCATCTTAATAAACATCCATTCAGATTTTTTAATGCATCATTTATATGTTTCTCCTTCAATTGAGGAGCAAAATATAAATCAAATATATGGTTCAGGGGGAAAGTGGTAGAAACAGGTGACTCTGTAGAAACGCATCTGTATTTGCTCCTGGGACAAAGTTATAAAGTCAATAATATAAAGATAATTAAAAGGAGAAATATTCATACAAGCGTGTGTTTCTTTGTATTGATGCATTTTCTCTGTGAAAGTTATTTAATGATCGAAATGTTCGAAGGAATAAAAATGATCAACAGAGAAGCAGCCTGATGTGGAAAAGAGGAGCCGGTGTTTGTTTAAATATTCAGCCGCAGTAATTGGATTATTTATGGTGTAACTTACATTTAATGAGACGCAGGCGAACTCCGCTGTGTATGTTCGATCCCCTTTTTATTCTCAGTCCGTGGGTCCGTCTTCTCACGCAGTTTCAGGGGATCAGCAGGTTAACATACAAACGTCTCTGCTGCCGCCTTGTGGCTGCGCGCTCACATCACAATAAGGCTGGCATGCATCATGTAAATAAAACATTTGTTACTAATCTTTAAAATATCTTAAACTTACAAACTCACTTTACACTTTTCAATATTGCTACTTGTCATTTTCTGTCCCAAAGACAGTTAGAGTAAGTTTGAAAATGACTCTGAACGATAATTTGAAGTTTGATGTGTTTTTCCCCTGATTTGTTTAAAAATAATCAAATAAAAGTATGAAATGTGAACATTGTCATTGTTTAGTGTGAACAGACTTCATGGTTTTAACTCTGCACATACATCTTCCAGCACAGTCCTCAACAAAACACTGGGTGGAAAGTTCAAACATCAGAGTGAGTTAAAAAAAAAAATAGAATTGTGCGTCAGTCCTCTTATGAAACCACATTTAGATTCACTTGATCCTCCTTTTTATTTGGATTTACACCAAATGGCACAAACCTATCAGTTCCCTTAACATGTCTGATTTTTCCAGATTACGAGCTATGAATTATTTTCGGCAAAATCAGGGACGATATCAAAAAAACACTTGTTCAATGTTTAAGTGAAAATAAATAAATACAATAATGGATCACAAAAAAATGTCATGGGTTCTTGTCTGACCCGTATCACATCCTTCCACCAATCTGTCCTGTCCTGCTAACTACACAACTTATTTGATAAAATAAAATGTCAATAGAAAGATATAACACATTTAAAGGGATAGTTGACCCAAAAATGAAAATTCACTCATCATCTACTCACTACTATGTCAACAGAGGGGCGGGTGAAGAAATGTTGGAGTCCAGAAAACACTTTTAGAGTTTCAGGGGTAAACTGTTCACCCCTGAAACTGAAAAATGCGGTCTCAAACACTTCACCCAACCCTTCATCGGCATAGCGGTGAGTAGATGTGTGAATGTGTGTGTGAATTTTCATTTTTGGGTGAACTATCCCTTTATTCAAAATTTGAATTTGTCCATTTATTCAAGCTTGTGTTGTTTTTCTCCTTTGACATAAAATAGCAGGCTCCTCCACCAGTGACCCTGTCTGATAAGAAGCTGCTGTTTTTGATCCGGCTGCATCATCAGAAGACACCGAAGGACACGTGACACCATGTGTGACGGAAACCAAGCAACAGGACGATGTTGGTTTTAGTCACTTTAACCGACTTTGATGCTGTCGGCTGTGTCTCCTCATCAACGCTGAACAATAACCGTCACCACATCACACCTCTTACACGTGAACACATGAAATCTGCTGCATTAAGAGCAGTAAGAGCTTGTGGTTTGTTTACAGGGATTTGCTGCTGCTGCTGTCATCACAGGTAATTACTGCTCTTCCTTGCTCTTGCTAGCTTTGTGTAACCAGGCTTCATTGTACAGATGAAACACTAAATAAAGTAGTTAATTGTGCTTCTAATATACATGGCACATTACATAAATACAGGCGGTGGAAATCATTATGAAAAACAATGTACTTGAATATAAATTTATTTTGACATTCGCTCAGAAGATGTAAAATAAGAAAAAAAAAGTCACACAGAAGATTATTAAAAAAAATAATAACACAGTGTTCACTCAAACCCCAGCAGGAGCTGCTTTAGAGATGTGGACCTGTGAGTGACATCAAGCCTATATATAGGCTCTCCACTAGGAGACAGCAGAGTGACAGTGATGAGGAAGTCACCCTGGCATCAATTCTCAAAGCACCGGTGACTTAGGACACACTGATGCAGGGGAATACTTGGGGGGGGGGGGATTAGGTTACAAAACAAAGAGTCTGAACAGCTTGGGGAGTCATTAACAAAATGCTCACAAGATGTAAACACGGAGCTACTGGGGACTCTAGAGAAAAATAGGGAAGGAGTCCACTCATTGGTGGCGTTATTAAAGGTCATGAGGGTAATACATGTGATTGTACATGTACGCGTATGTCTGTGTATTTGTATGCATATACTCGTCTTTCGATTATTTTGAGGACCAATGTTGGTTCCAAACTATCATTGTGTGTGTGTGTGTGTGTGTGTGTGTGTGTGTGTGTGTGTGTGTGTGTGTGTCGGAGCTGGGTTTGTTGAACCAGATTCATCAGTAATCTATTGTAAATGGGTCACAATTTCTGGAGCAATCTAAAATTGGTTGTCTTTGTTTTACCGGGTGAGAGTTACTAGAAGTGATACGGGGTGTGGGTAACCCAGTTCGATGTCTGATCTTTAGTGCGCTTGGCAGAGCTGTGGGTCGTGAACAGGGACTTGAAGACCTCGGACTTCTCCTCCATGGTCTGGACGGACCTCTTGGTGCCGGAGGCTGTCGAGGACTTTGCGCCTTCAGAGGAGCCGGAGGTTCCAGAGGGTCCAGCCTCGTCTGGGTGGAGAAATGGCAAAAGAGAAGAGGGGACATAAAGGAAGGATTAGTACAAAAAAAACAAACAGAGTAAAGAATGGGTAAGGAAGGGAGTAAGACTGAAAATAGGAATATGAGGTTTACTTAAGTTTGTCTCTGCTTACTTTATTATTTCATTTCCTTTCAGCCTTTTAATCTTTTCATAGGCCGACCGGTAAATGGAAACCTGCTCTCTGGACTCATTAAAGACATAACTCTATGGCCAACTGATAACAGAGGATATCCACTGATCAATCACAATAATAAAACACGGTTTCATCTTCTTATTTGCAGCCTACTTCCAAAGCCAGAGTTCACAGTGGGACAAAAGACTGTGAAAGGCAGCAGATACACCAGGTAATACAGTGAGGACATTATTCAACAAGAGGAGAAAATATGGCAAAAGAATTTGGCACCACCAAGATCAGCAGGTTTCTCTATAGCTGATGATAGAACAAGGAGGAAACAGGTCATTTGCCAAGAAGCCTGTGGCAACATTAAAGGAGCTGCAAGTATTTCTGTCAAGTGCTGGTTGCACCATACGTGTTAAAACAAAAGCTCCAGTATTCTCAGTGTGGCTGATCCATGGGATAGAATCACAAAATGGAAGCCATTTCTCACAAGGAGAAAAAAAAAATACAAAATAACATATCCAGTCTCCCAGAGCCAAAACATGTAGTACAATATTTATCATAATTCCAAAAGGGAGAGGAAGAAACAAACTTGATTTTGGCACATAACCTCCAGGCGTCTGCGAGAGAGCTGAAGAGGAATTTACAAGTTCTGCATGACAAAGACTCAGAGCAACCAAATCAACAAAACAATGGCAACAGCAAAAGAAGATTTAAGATAAGGTAAAAGCAAGAGCCTCAAACTGAAAATCTGAGGCGACCCGTCGAGGGCTGCGCATCACTACAATTTCATTCATTTGGAACGCTATTGCCAGGAAGGACAGAAAAATACCGTCAAGTCAAGATGTGCTGAGGTGATAATCCAACCCAAAATGTGCTTCACCAAATTATTACTTAAAGCTTGTACTGGTTTCATATTTTATATCACAAAAACCCTTTTAATAGGAGTGTGTAGACATTCTATTCTTTTATACATTATTTAGAATAACAACTATTTAGAATATCAATATACAGAATGACAAACGTGTATTCAAGCAGAGTATTATGCTCAAGTCAGAAGTTTAGATTAAAGTTTTGTTTGTCTGTATTAGGAAGGACGCAACGAGAATAGGACAATTTTATTAAGCCAGAGGATAATTCAATGTTCACATAGGAAACATTTTTTTTCAATTTTCAGGAGAAAAATGATTCATAACTTTTGACTCTCAGCCAACTTCCTGTTCAGTTGTGAGGAGAAATTCTTGTGTTGTCCTAAAACTGAACAGGAAGCCACACCAATGCTTTCTGAGGACAGACAATAGTACAATAGGAGGTCTCTGATCTAACATCCATAAAAGCATGCCTCAGACTTCAAAAGCATTCTGCATGCTCCAATAGCACTAGCACTAGTAAAATAGAGAAGTTTTCAATTGATCACATCAGGTTCCCTAAATCCTCTATCACTAAGTAATAAATGTGTTTCTTCAAAAACTAGTTATATTATATCACCGTGTTTCAATTGATAATAATAATTAATTATGGGAGCCTTTCACAGCACTCAAGGTCCTTACACAGCAGATAAAAACACAACAATGCATCACTGTCTGTATACACCATCTGTATTTGATCCCACAGAACTCCACTTCAGCACATTCAAAACAGGTAGGAGGAAAGGCTCCGGTGTTTTGTTAGCAGCTTGATTTGGTTTATGTAAATATTGTAGTGATTTGTCTGAACTAAAGAAATGTTCTGGCTTTCGTTCCACCTTTGCATTTTAAAGCCAGTCTGACGCCACTTTAGACTTCCAACACGCACGTTTCTCCACCTCATCTGTGCACTGGGACCTGCAAGCAATTCAACTCACGGTAAGAAGATGATAAATATGTGTTGTAAGTGTCACACGGCGTCTGACTGGCTTTAAAATGCAAAGGAGGAACAAAAACCAGAACAAAAGTCTTTGTAGTTTGTCCATTAACCTCTTGCCGACTGTGTGCTACGTTATTGGCTGGTATAAGTCTCAGCCGGTCAAGTCAAACTTGCTAATGAAATAAAATGACCCCCACAATGGTTTTACACAAACCTGCTGGTGTAGATGCAGTTTCAACTTCCTTGTTCTTCTTTGATTTCTAAAAAAGGACAGGAAATGTAGCAATTAGAAACTCAAGCTCCCCCATATTTCATCATCTTAGGTTATTTGTTGTTCAGATACAACTTCATCTCACCTTTGTTTTGGCTTTAGCTCGCTTTGCTTCCATCCTCTCCCTCAGCTTCTCCACCTCCTCCTTGGTGTCATTGAGAAAAACAATGTCCTCGTGTTTGAACGGGTCGCCACACTGTAGCACAAACATGACACTTTGGTTAACTGCATGGAAATACATTATATATAGAATAGAAATGTTGTGATATATATTATCACAAGGTGAACTCAGAAAACATCAGGTCTCAAGATTTTGTTATTGTTTAGTGACTTGAACCAGGATTTTGTACTTTTGTGATGGTGTAAAATTTACAAATGAATCACTTATTGTGCCTTCGTGGAAACCCACAGCATCTTTCATCAGAATATAAAATTAAGCCTAATAGAAGACTGTTTTACGATGTGTTTGAGTTTTCTTAGTAAGTTGTCTGGCATTTTTAGGAATGATTTTTTCACCTTCCCTTCTCTAAAAAAATAAATGTCAAATATATGTTTAGTTTAAAGATGTAATTCATGAAGTTTTTCCCCTGAGACTCTTTACAAACATATAATCTTATTACCTGATGCATTATTGGGCTTAAAGTGCAAAAACCTCAGTTAAACACAGATAGGAACATATTATCCTATTTTCACTTGTTTGTTTATTCAGGACACATATGGTTTACTCAGAGAAAACCCACACAACAATTCCACTGATGCAAAGAAAACATGCAAATCCAGTTAGTCAGTCAGAATGACGTTGCTTAATGAGAAGATCTTCAACAGCTCTGCACCAGAAGATATGGAATTTTTAACTGTCGTCTTTAGCCCAGATAAAAGTACTGTTGCAAGCATGTTACTATGATAACCTAGAAGACGTCATTGAGCAAATATGGCAAAGCAGTCACACTGCAATGTACAATATCAGCAAGAAATAAATAGTATGAGGCTACTCTGTTTTTTAATCGAGTTATATAAATAAACATCTTGAATATCTAAAAATCTTCCTGGTTTGGCTTTTTTTAGTTCAAATCTAGTTGTCTGGGATCACAAACACAGTGCAAGTTCAGTTTTATGGATGGTATATCATTGACTACCTGGATGACACAAAGATGAATCAATCAGGGGTTTGTAAATCTTTAACAGACAAGGGAAAACACACCCACATGCAAGCACATATTTCCAACCGAGAGTTACCGGCAGGAGCTCTATTGTGTGGCTGCAATGCAGGCTCAGTGGGTGTGAACTCCAGCCATGTGCTCTGGTCAACACAAGAGGGATAATCTCAGGAGCTGACCAAGCAGCAAAAAAATTCAGTGGGCGCTGCTCTGAAGTCAGTCACTCTGCTGTTGCAACTGCCCCAATGACACAGGCCACTGGTGAGCTGAGCACCTTATCATCGAGTCAGAGCACAAGTCGACCAGAACGTTTCTTTACGCGACAGGACTCGACAAGGCAGATAAACTGGTGGAGGGACATGGAGGAGAGTTTGATATGTGCACCTCAAACTGGGGGAGACGAACTGGAATTTAACACATCTGAGAGGGAAGAAAGAGGACAGGCACCTGAGGTAAGGGGAACCAAGAAAAAATAATGTGAAGCAAGAAGAAACAACCCACCAGTGAGTAGGAAACCGTATGGGGGAGGAGAGTGGAAAAAACCTTGGTGAAAGAGAGAGAGGGGGCAAGTGCGTAAGGTACGACTGTGCCTGTGTGTCAGGTGTGCGTTATTGCTGGTAACCAGGCAGGGACAGACCCATTCTCATGGGAACGTGACGCAACACAACAACAGAGAAATACCACGGAACCCACAATAACGAACCAATCTGACTCAGACATACGACAGAATCTCCTCCTGCTGATAATGACGGGGGTGACTTGTGTTCTCTGACGAACTCTGGATGGATGGTTACAAGACATGTGGAATATCTGTTGTGGTGACACAATGCTTGGAACAGGCGTCTGGTGTCTATTTACTTCTTCATCATAAGGACTACAGACTGAGCCGCCTCTAAGGTAACTGGCTAACCTTTGCACCTCTTTGGATTCTTTTCTTTACAGACTGTATCTGCATGATCAATAAACAATAAATAAATAAATGTAATCCCAAAGAAAAACAGTATCAGTAGAATTGAAGGCATATTCTTTCTTACTACATGTAGCGTAGTAGCTGTTTTTTTAAAATAAATGTCACTGAAGGAAAGGGCTGCATACTCTGCTAAAATTATGGCTCATTCTCAATAAAGACACTAAATAATAACACTGAAGTATTAAGATGGTTTGTGAATTTGGCATATAAATGCTAATCTTATTACACATCACAGAGTAATTTACTAAGGATTATAACTATCAAGTATAATATCCTTCCTAGGCTCTTAAACACAAAATACTACAACCCATTTATTGACAGGGAGCAGCCGTCTAAAGGAAATCCGTTTGAAACCTTTCAGGTATCCTGTTAGTTTACTTACTGCTATCTGTTGTGCCTTGCACATGTAGGTCCTGAGTTTTTAAATTATGTTTTTATTCAGTGACTCAACTTCACTTTCATTATTTGAAGCAATTGATGAACAACAGTTATTTGTTAAATATAGTAAATTTGGTTTCATATCCAAAGAAAACCAACCAAAAATTTAACTGACTCAGACTAGAGGTACATTGTGTAGAATTTACTGATATCTAGTGTTGAAATTGCATGTTGCAGCTGAATGCCCCTCGCCCCACCCTCCCCTTCCCTTCCAAACATGTAAGAGAAATTGTGGTAGACTTCAGTTGTCAGTTTTATTTTGTGTTTTTGTTGGAGCACAAGAAGAGTCACAACATCCTCTGAAATGTATTCCATATAGGGAGATATAATATATATATATATATACATCAAAATGTAAACACACATTCTTTTAACTAAATGCATAATGTTAAAATTCTCAATCATCTTTAATAGACAACAATGATTTAATTTACTAATGCATTGACCACATGTATTAAATAACCAGGAAATTAACCCCCCTTCATCTGCATCATCCAAGGCTCTGGAACTCCCTGCCTGATGAGATTAGGTTTGCCAACTTGCTACCGATCTTTAAATCCCTGCTCAAAACTTGCTTTTACAGGAAAGCATTTCTAACTTGCCACTTGTAATTATTTTCATTACAACAATCAGAACCTGGAGCAGCTGTGTTATAATTATTCAGCAGAGTCCAAGTCCATGTCGCGATGCATCTACAAATGGAGAAAAGCCCACAGCTCTAGCCTCAGTTACTGCAGCACAGGCTTCATTTTTCTTTTTTTTTGATAAACAACCCCCACCAGAGAAAACGCTACAGAGAAATTTGCCATTTGTGGCTTCAACTGCCAAACTGTTTCAGTTTCTGTTCTTTGCAACTCTCTCTTCATGACAAACAGAGGTCCTTACATGGAGCAATAAAGGCAAGTGAACACACGTGTCGATTTAGAATGATTCTGATTCACATATATACATAAGGTGATGAACACGCACTTATTTTCTGCGGAGAGTAAGAACATTTATGCAAACATACTGGTGAATTAAGCCCATTGTCTCTGAAAATAATTATGAAAAGACTAAATCTGGTGCACTAAACTATATTTCTTTTTCAATCTAAAAACCATCTTCAATCAATTAGTGCTAACCTACATATTTAACCCTATTCAACATCCCTTGGGGTTCAAGACCTGAATGAAAATAACCGATCTAAATGCCTTTTTTGCAGGAGTTGTATCTGTGGTGGGGCTTTCTGGATAAGGTGGAGCTATTATGTGGCAGCTGGAAGGAGCAAAATGCAGCTTCCTGTTCTGCCTGGGAATAAGCATTATTATCTGTTCCGTCATTTACTTGCGGGCCAGTATACCACCACCAACAGCACCCAAGCCTCCGGATCCTTCATGTTGCAGGCCCTTTTCCACTGAATGTAAAGCTGTCCTGCCTGGCACTGAGATAGGATTTGAATGGGTCCGCCGTGACTGCCAGGTAAGTTTTATTTTATTGTCTCAATTCTGAAATATACATAAAGGGGAAGGGAAGCAAACTCAGGAGAGAAAAAGAAGTATACTGACAAATACCAGTAGAGACTCTAAAAGTTCTAGAGTAAAATTAAGTTTTATAAAAGTTGCATTGTCAATTCTTGTCTGCAGATGGATATCCTGAATAGTCACCTGCAGTGTTCCAATTTGACCAAAGAGCTGCACTTCATCACAAGACCTCTGAGCCGTGAGGAGGAAGATTACCCTTTAGCATTCATTATGACTGTTCACAAAGAACTGGAGGTTTTTGTGCGTCTGCTGCGGGCCATTTACATGCCACAAAATGTCTACTGTATTCATGTGGATGCTAAGGCTCCATGGGAGTACCAGGAGGCTATACGGAAGCTAGTCAGCTGCTTCCAAAACACTTTCCTCTCCAGCCGCAGCGAGACAGTGACCTACGCTGGGTTTTCCCGTCTGCAAGCAGATGTGAACTGCATGAGGGATCTCGCAAAGTCCAAGATAGGCTGGAGGAAGGTGGTGAATCTGTGTGGACAGGATTTCCCTGTCAAGAGCAACCTGGAACTGGTGCAGTACATGCAGAGCAAAAAGTGGAGGGACAGAAACATGACGCCTGGGGTGAAGCAGCCGGTGTCTATGAGGCACAGGACAGAGCTCCAGCACATGGAGATCACAGGCTCACATGTAGTTCTAAAAGGGATGGGGATGAAGAAAGGTCCTCCTCCACACAATCTACAAGTTTACTTTGGAACAGCCTATTATGCTCTCACGAGGGCTTTTGTAGATTTTGTTCTGAAAAGCCCAATTGCTCAGGATCTCCTGGAGTGGTCCAAAGACACGTTCAGTCCAGACGAGCACTACTGGGTGACACTCAACCACATCAAAGGTAAATTCTGTTCTGAATTGCTACACAGACACGCTCCCACTGCTGCCAACATGACCTTCCTGCACACCAAATCCTGGTATAGAGCTATTAATTATTAACTAGTGTGATTATAATACTTAAAACACACTGCACTTCATATACAGATACAGTAATGCAATCAATGCAACAAGGTCAAAGAATGGTAGAGCAGAGTAACACTTCATTGTTCCAGAGGAGCAATTTAGCTTACAGACACCTGTCAACAGTAGATCTCATCTTTTTTTTTTTACAAAAATAATAATCTGTACAGTATTTACATACCTACACAAAGAAGGATTTTTAAAGAGGTTAATGCCAAAATCAAGGTTGTCAAATTGTCATTCAGATCAGTAGAAAAATAGAAGATAATTTAAATCAGGAAAGCAAAGGAGAGGAGGCCCTGAATTACATCCTTAGCTAATCAAAGGCCAAAACGTATTTGTTTGAAAAGCCAAAATATGACAGAATAAATGTTCCTACAATCCCAAGCTGAAGCAAACTTGTTCTACTGGATCTCTGTCACAGGTTCCATTTAATAATGGTCAGAGCAAAAGAAGAAGCTCACTTTTGGAAGTAAATGAACTTCTCTTTAGTCTTCAGACAAAGTCAGAGGTAGCGGGTGTTGTTAAGACATTAGACAAATTCATCTACCACTGGACCATGACTCTGCTCTTCACTGTGCAATAAGCTGATTATTACAGAATAAAACACAACAGACCAGTCGTATGTCATTAATCACCTAATTAATCTGGCTTTAGTCATTAGTGACCAAGAAAAATAAAAGTGCTGAAGGGCTGCAGCCGTGAGGGAACCCAGTGAAGAATGAGCGTGTACTAGCTCTAGATCTACTAGAACATTCACTTGAACTCTCTGTTCTCTGTAATACATCAAGCACACAACACTTTGCACTTACTTTTTATTCATTTGAGGTTTCACTGGGCTTGTTTAATTAATTTATCTTGTTGTGCCCTTCAGCGATGATCGAATGGGACCCGACTGGAGGATTAGCACCACCAGCTGTTAATATTCCCTAAGAGTAGTAGATTCACATTTGCAGTCATTAACATTTTCTTTTGCAGATTTTATCCAGTTGAAATGTCCCCTAAATTTCCACAAATGTAATTTCTCACACTTGTGTAATGCTGGAGTTAAGTCCCAAGAGGTCGAATAATATTAATGCTGCCGTTGGTCTTGATTAGAGAACTGGCCTAAAATGTATCCTTGAGTTGAAAGGCCACCACAGACTTTAAATGATTATTTTCAATTATTTGGGGTTGCTAGTGTAAATGTAAAAATGTGAGATAGAAAAAGTGCAGCACATGCATGCACTGTATGAATGTATGAGAGTGGAAAAATACACAGTGACAGGTTTCTCAGAAGTTGGTGGTTAGCCTGGTCAGCATGCACAGTCATGCAGTTTAAAGGGGGAGAGTGTAACCAAGCTTGTTGGGTCTCTCTATAAATTGAAGGTCTTGACCTTTTTATGTTATGATCTGGCTCTTAAAACTGAACTGAACTGAATACCTTTTATTATAATTAATTCCCTTATTTGCCATGGATTTTTTTCTCTGCAAAGCACTTTGTAACATTGTAGATAAGTGCAACAAATAAAGTTATTATTATTATGTAAAAATCATCAAATAGACTATGTAACTGCAAAAAAAGCCTCTAGCCCCCTTCATTGAGATTTGATTGTATCTACTATTTTATCTGGCCCTTGAAGGAGCCCTAAGGGAGGGAAACTCTCCAGCCAGTTCCCCTATTCTATGTAAAGCATCCTGTACATTCTCCCACGCTGTGCATGTAGCAGTCACAAATAGGGCAACATAAACCCTAAGAATTCAATTATCTTGTATACTAATGATTTGTTTGATCTGATTATGTGTTTAAAGAAGCTCCAGGCAGCCACATAAATGGAGACTGGGAAGGAGACATCCGTGCAATCAAGTGGAAGGACCAAGAGGGGAAAACGCATAATGGCTGCAAAGGTACAGTACTGCAGAGCATGTCTATTTATAGAGGTACTACTTTATTGTACTTTAACTGTACTACAAAGTGTAACTATGGTCTAGCTTCATTCCTGGTGCTATGAAAATCGTATTCAAATTCTCTTATGTGATTTGCAGAGAACTATTTACTGCCAAGAAAGATTATTCTTTTTGGTCTTCTATATGGCTTTTTGTCTGCCAACAGGATTATAGGACCATTTACTGTCTCAAAATTTACTCAACAAAAGAACTGATAGGAAGATTCATGTGATATGATGTCCCCTCTAATAGGTTTAGTCTGTGCTTCATATGACCTTTTACTGGTAGAAGATACTGATTTTTATGTAACGATGAAATAGAGACAGTGGGGTCCAAACGACTGTGACCAATAATAGAATGTTGATGTAACTTTCCAGGGCACTATGTACGAGACATCTGTATCTATGGAATAGAGGACCTGCCCTGGATCATTGAAACGAACAGCATGTTTGCCAATAAGTTTGAGAGAGACACCTTTCCCCAGGTGCTGGACTGTCTGGAGCAGTGGCACAGAAACAAGGTGCTCAGCCATTCGACTGTTCCAATAGACCCATCATGGCTGCTGGCTACACAGAGCAACTCAAGCAGCAGCAGCTACTTTAACAGCAGTGCTGGAGCATGAAAGTGCTGTTGACATCCTCATCAAAAGACTGGTTACTTGCAGTTCAGATGATTTGCACTTCACAAAGGTGTGAGCAGGAACATACTGAACTGAGAACAAAGGGATGATGCACTGTACAATTCCTGAGTCTGCAGCATGATTACTGTTCACTGATACATTTGCTTATTTATTGTTTTTATAACCAGGGGACAATTTATATACAGAGAAGTGAAATGTCTTTCCTTTACTGTAATGCAGTCAGAGCACGAGTGTGACTCTTATAGAAAAATACAAGTGAATAATACCATTTGGGACAACTAGAAGACACAAAGTATTGAATAAACTAGACTTAATATTGTTTAATTAAATCAAATATGCAATGTTGTTAAATTCAATATTTGTCAGTATGTTGTTCAGTTTGACAAACTTTTGTCTGTCAATCCTTTTTTAATAAATTCAGCAGTTGGTGTAAACAATTAAAGACAAATAGAAGAATAAACTCTATTCTCTCTTTGCTTCATACTAATGTTTATTTTAATGTGTGCAACTTATGCCAGAGTGATTGTGGAGGTTTAGTGTGATTTAAAAAAAACAGAGTGAGAGTTGTTTCTTTCCAAAATTATTTAAAAAGGAAATCAATTCAAAAGGTAAGTGAAATAGTTTTCTTCAAAATTAAGGTCAGTTGTATTTTCTAATTGTTTTTCAGACAGTTTCCCACCAAGAGCATTGTGGCTTCAGAATATGTTCCACGCTGAGTCGGAAAGTTGGTCGATGCTGAGATAAGAGATATAACTAGGATGACTCTACATCCTATGCACTGTGGTAATTCACTCTTGTCTCACTGTCAGAAAGTGCTTGATAAGAGAGACAGACATGTACCTGTACCTATGACAAAAAACTAAAACACGCTTTCAACTTACAAAGACATGGCATTCATCAATATACGAACACAGATGTCTGCAATTTAAGAACATGTCATGAACAAATTTAAGAAATTCTTAAGAAGATATTGGTGAATGAGGCCCAAAGTTATTTTCACGAGCAGAGATGACAGAAACACTATTATAGAATTTAAACTTCTGAAAAAGTGTAAATTTGTCAGCAGTGTATTATACTGACACTGCTGACAAAGTTTACATTGTTTTACTTGTATTTCTGTCATCTCTGCTCAAAAAAGAACTTTGGGCGATGAATGCCATGTCTTTGTAAGTTGAAAGCATGTGTGAGTTTTCCCTAATTAGCATAGGTAAACGCCCTCGTATGCGGTCTATGGAGTCAGCACAGAAATGAACTCAGTTTTCAGAATTAACAGGCTATACTTGGAAAGAACATTTTAACTAAAAGCTGTAGCAGTAAAACTATACATATCATAAACACTGTTGCACACTCAAGTATTGTCAATGGGTGTATATTTGAGGGAATTATTGAATAATCAAGTTCTTTCATGACTGAATTTTTATGCCAACTGCAAAGTTAGTACAGACTACACAAACAAAAGAGGGATGACTTAAGGAGGAGTGACAGCGACAGGGAAAGACAGGAGAAAAACTGCTCACCTTATGGCAGATTTCTGTCTTAACCTCCTTCAGGGCTCGCTCTGAGAAGACACAGCCACAGGTTTGCAGGTAACAAAATCTGGGGAAAAAAATTATTATGATAAGTACAATAATATTTTGTTTTTAAATGCTTCTTTCTTGAACTTTTCCAGTCTTTCTTTCTTTGGCTTAGACCCATACAAAGTGCCATAGCAATATATATATTATTTTTACTTAATACTGAATGCCATACAAGCAAATTAATCAAAACACAGCTTATTGGACACAGAGTCCTATAGAGAACACACCAATACAGATGTCCTGAATTTAATGTAACATGATTAAATGTTAGTGAGCCAGGAAACTAATGGATCTACAGCTGCACAAAATTGATCTACACAATGTATGGAGAACCTTCCTTTAAATTATTTCTTGTTGTGCTCAAACATTGTGATTATTCTTAGGTTGATGCCCTTCTACTATGTTGTTTACCTGTGCTTGCCATTCATCTCCAACCCAACAACAGGGCAAATAAACATGCCACAGTTGATGTCCTCATAACGGTCTCCTTTAGCATTTCTTCTTTCTCCCTCCCACTCAGGATTATCGGTCAAGTTCAGCTCTTTAATGTCCTAGAAATGGAGAGAAGGAATGAACATGTACTGAAGCACAGAACCACACATGAAATCTAAAGAGAAATATAGGCATAAACCCCAATACACAAGAAAATTCAGACAGGAATGAGAAACTTTGCACAAGATTTCAGTGACATCACTTTGCAGTACCTTTATCCCACGGATGTGCGTAACAGTCTCAGTGTTGGGTCTCTCTGTAGTTTTATCCAGAAGATATTCAATGATAGCATCTTTGTTAAAGAGCCTGAAACATAGCACAGTTCAGACATTTAGTGCATTGTGAGTTTCATCATCGAGCCATTTCGAGTCTAAAGTTGTAACAAGGCCGATGATTTTGCCTGATTGATGATGGACATGAAGTCAACGCTCACCTTCCCAGGTCACAGGAAACGATGGGACGTCTGAGTTTCTCCTGGCTCAAGGCACAGTATTTCCATTTGGCGGCTAGCTCTGCATTTTTATCGGCCTAAAGACACAATCCAAACATTACAATCAAAACATGTTCCATGGAGACAGTCATGGTCTGTGTTCTAGATGCTGCACATGTAAATACTGGAAATGATTTTGTAAAGCATTCAATCACTAACTACTATACACAGAGTATGTTGTGAACTGCAAGAGACGTGTCCTGCTCAACAGATAAATGACATAAAGGATTCACAGTATTAGTCGTTTAGATTAATCTTTTCGATTACGAATGCACTATAGCCGTTAGCTATTGTATTTTGAAGGCCAGCGTTAGCCAGCTAGTTAGCTTAACTGCGTTTACATGTCATGTTCCGACAGGACCCATGATGTGTTCATTGTGTGGTATATCTTCATGTCTGCCCAACCGGCCTGAAAACATCTAATCAATCTACAATTTAATGCCTTTCAAGATAATAGGCTGACAATAATACAGTTAGCATGCTAGCTGGATAACAGTTAGCAATCGTTCCACGTCGTCGTCAAACGAAAAAGAGAGAAAAAAAAAAACATAACAAACCTTCTCGACTTTTTTCGGGCCTTTCACCAGCTCGTGTCTTTTGGGAATCGTTCCACCGTCGCATCCCATACTGAAAGCCGACCTGAGACCTTTCAACAGCGGGTTAGCTCGCTGTGCTCACAGCTACACACAGACAGGAAGTACCCGGGTATGTAAACAAACTGCGACAGGGCCGCAAATCTCGTGAGATGTGCGGCCGAGCTGATGTCGCCATCTAGCGGCTGAATTAAAAAAAAAAAAAAAAAAAAAAAAAAACCTCAAAACCCATTTCAGGCGTATTTTCTATCTGCAGCCACAGAGCGGAGGCATCGCTCCAAACATGACCATTGTAGTTTCTGTTCAGCCAGCAGCACTGATGGAAGATTGAGATTGTATACAATTAATTTAAAAATAAAATCAAACCACTAAAGATGAGCCACACAGCCGGCTTACTTAATCAAATTTAATTTAATTTATTGTCCCTATGCGGAAATCTTTCTTGGGCCAAAGTGCTACAGCAGCTGCAGAACAGTATATTGTGCAACAAACAGCAAAAAACAGTACACAAGGAAATATCATCTATATAATCTCTATGTAGACCAGAATAATAATGCAGAATGAAAGTGAGTTGAATATTGCACCTGCCCTGAAAACACTTAAAAAATACAAAACACTAAAAGTTTACAACACATAAAAGATGAAAAACAATAACCAGAGTGTAAAATGTGCTGCACAGAGTGCAAAGGTTGTTGGGATACATGGTCGAATCAACATTTTTCCTCATGGAGTAGTGTGATGGACGTTGGGATGAATGAGAGCTCGAGGCGATTGGTTTTACACTCATAGGCTCAGTATCGCCTACCTGATGGTAACCAGGCAAATTCAGAGAACAGTGCATGTGACGGGTCATTGTGGATCGTATATGTGCTGGTCTGACCACAGAACCTTCCTAGATGGTCCAAAGGGAAGGATAGTCATTTTTGCCGATTACCTTAATAGCTGATCAGCAACTATTTACCAGGAGGCACTTGAGATAATAATCTCTTATGAGGGTTTTGATTACTGCATGAGCGTATATTTGTATAAGAAGTACATGCAAAGAGGTTCTATTAAGGTGGGAAGAGTAAGTATGTTACAGGAAGAAAAGGAAGGTTTTGTTATGGTACGCTAATATCATAACATCATCATATTGTAAGTATTATAGCAAAAATGAGAGAAAAACAACTTCACTCACATTACTTCACTCTTCAGCTGCCCATCCATCCATGAAACATTTTCAGTCAGCCATTAAACCCAGGACTAGTAAGTGACATTAGTCTGACATTAGTCAGAGTGGTCTAAAGATGAAAGTTTCCTTGGAAGATAGTTCAATGAGTGCTAATGAGATCTGTTTCCTGTGCCTTGCAGGCTGCAGATTAGTTTACTATCGATGGCGCTGTCCAAGAGCGACCATTAGTTTGGGGAATACCCCACCGGAGACATCTCTGGCAGCATGACTGATAATCGGAGTGGAAGAGAAGACTGAATAAAAACAGAGCGTTGGACTTCATTTTGGCTGAAAAAGTAGATTTCTACCTCTTTGTGTTCACCACCCACGGGCAGCTGCTGCTGCAGTTTAGCGAAATGAACAGATACGAACACAAAAACATTTCTCCATTCTGCCCGTTCGTTCGATTGGTTCTTCCTGTAAATTATAAATTGTGTTATGTGTCTTATTGAATTTCCCCCCTTTCTCACACAGAGCTAAATGTTTAGTATGGATTTTCATTAGAGACATTGGAGTGAAAGCTCTGTTAGCAAACTATCTTGGAGAGAGTGGAGGGCCCCGAGCTGATGGTGCAAACCAACACCTCAACAACGTGCACTGCACAATGGCCATTGGACAAAAAGACAGAGACAGTGGACCAGAACAATGGTCCGCTGTCTCTGTCTTGCAAGATTTGTTGTTTTCATAACTTCAGAATTAGAGCTGCTCTCTGGGGCACAGTGTCATTTTTTTAGGATAAAAGTTTTTTCACTATGGCTTGTACCTGATGCACCTGATCATACACACATACTGATAGGTAACGTGCTTTTTTACTCCTATCAGCTATTATCCAAGATACAGATTGCATGGATAAACCCACAGAATTTTAGAATAAATCCAAAATGCCTGACATCACAGTTTTCATGTAATGGAGAAAGATGTGAGTTATTTAAATACACGCAGATGCCCTGACATGATAATAAAATGACAATAGGGATCGGATCACAAAAAATCCTCATTATTATTGCACATTGCCTCAAATTATATGTAAATTTTTTAAAAGATCATCATCCTAATCTGTTCAAATAGCTTGACAAGTGTAAAAATGGGTATACCCCTTTCAAGGAGGTTATGTTTTCACCCCAGTCCATTGGTTGGTTGGTTTGAAAGCAAGATCATCCAAAACTACTGGATGAATTACCATGAGACTTTGTGGAAGGATGCGGTATGTGTCAGGAAAGAACTCATTCATCTGTGGTGTGGATCTGGAACATTGTGAGATGATTGGGTGTTTTTTTGGCATTTCCACAGATCTCTCAAAGAGTAATTCATGGATCTTGAAGAAATAAAGAACAGGCATATTAAAGAAGTGATACCTGTGGGTGTAATCTTGTGCAGCGTGTTTAGATTGAAGGGGAATGTTGGGCTTGGTGGAGATATGTGCTCTGTTGAGTGCCATTTTAGTTCATTTAGTTTACCAGATCTGATAAATCCAAAGCCTGAATGTGTCACTGCCAGTAGATCACATCTTCTCTTGACAGTTGAATCCGAAGAATTTGTGCAGCTTCCTCCCAGATCTCCCCCTCTGACGGACCCTCCCACCACACACACTCATATCTTCCTCACCCGCTGTGGTGCTGTTCAGCACGGCTGACCCAAAGAAAACCCCAACCACCAAGCACCCATCCAACCTCATGTTTATACTTCCATGATGAGTCCAACCTGCCCAATCAGACTTCCCCTGACTGGCCTTGAACTGAAACTGTATACATCTTAACCATCCCAGCCATCCGAAGCAGCCAGTGGAGACCAAGGCTGCATTAATTGCACCAACCAGCACTGGTAGAGCACCGAGTCCAATGCATTTAGCGTCTCTAATTGGGGAGGAATTGCTTTGTTTACATTGGCGCTAGTGGATAGAGCTGGACCCTCTGCAGCCAACCGAGCTAAAGATTGAGGGAGTAGGAATCTCAAAATGCCTCGTCCCTGTTGGAGCTGGACGGAAATTATTTGGAGCAGAGTTCAGGCTTATTTACGCAGATTTATCAAGAGGAGGGAGAGGAGATTAATCTCTTTTTTTTCTCTGTCAGATTTTAACTTTAATTTATAGAATATGAATTTGATCATTGGTGTTAGTAATGTCATTTTGTGAGAGGATCTTTCTTAAGACCTATTTTGGAGAAAAAAATGGTGAATGTTAAACAAATAGGGGGGAGGTTTAATCATCTAATAAATATTTTGTTAATACATTTTTTTGTCATTTTTTTAAAACTATGATTTCTTTATTCTATTAAACAAGTGAAAATAGCAGAAAAAGTCCACTTAAATTACCAAAACCTCAGGAATTACCTTGACGTGATAATATGTCACATTTGAGCAACTGAAAGCAGTGAACTATTAATTCATTATCCAACTTGTCATTTTTTTAAATTATAAAATCATTAATCATCAATAGCATCAATTTATTTCACTATGTGACATGACTATAATCCCTGGAGCACAAAAGAGATAATATGATATAGAGGTGGATAAACCACACATTTAATTATAAATTCATCTTTCACCAGAACACTTCCCCTCAATAAAAAGTTTGTTATGAGAGATTTTTATTTAGAGACCACTGTACCCAGTCAACTCTTACACCGTGTATCAGGCCATATCCAAGTTCATGGACCTTCTGTATAATGAGAAATCCAAAACCCTGGAAAAAGCCCACCACATCCAAACACTGCAATGGGTTACCACACACACAAATCGACCACAATTATTTTCTCATTCCTTTTTCTGTTTATGTTCAATCTCACATAGCTAAAATGATGTCAGTTGGAAATGCTGCACATAACAAATTTTTCTATCCTCCTGGAGTGGGATTAACCCGCTTGAGCTTTCGCCACATATTGATACAGACTTTTGATTGTATTGAAAAATACTCTATGTATTCTGGCATTAGGTCATAAACAGGGAACTTTAGCAGGACTTCTATTTTTTTTGTTGTCATTTTTTATATGATCAGAGTAAAATCGAAATTTTAAGGATTTATTTTTTTATGTGATTCCATTTGGATTTGGAAATGCTGCTGCGGATGAGTCAGCGGGAAGAAAATCAAGTTTTGTCTGTATCTCTCCAGGGTATGACTGATGTTGAAAAACATGCCTGATGTTGCTATGATTCCTCCAGCAGATGACGGTGGACCGTTTTTTCCTCGTTGCACCAGCCCGCCACTATGTGACAGCTTTAATCCAGCGGTTGTGCTGAAGTGAACAGCTCAACGCTTTACTCACCGCAAACTCCACAAAGCACTGGGACCTTTTGTGATATCAGCCGAGCCAAAACACACACACACGTATGAAGTCCACCTGGACACATTTTTACCTTCAGCCAGTTTCTGATTTTCATCTTTTCCACTGTGGCAACATCAGCCCCAACACCCTGCAGACAACAGAGCCACAAACAGATAAATGGATACATACACGCACACGTGGCTCAGATACACATGTATACATTGCCTGTCTGTATAAACAGACAAATATAGGACACACTCACATATGATCCTTGGTTCCTCTTTGATTTCTGTGACTGTGGAAGGGAAAGTCTCCATACATCAGCGGAGGCTATATGAATGGAACAATTGGTTGTGTGCTGGCAGCACAAGCTCAGTCACATCTCATTAGCTTGACGGGATCCCCGAAAGGTTCTGACAGCATCCTGGCTGTGATCGACGTGGCCCCGGGTGATGGGGACATACCTGTGGCTGCCTTGAGTACTCATGTGGGCACGTGGTGGAGAATATTCAAGCGCACGTAGCAGCTGAGGCCTGGCAGCAGTGGTAGCAAAGGTTCTGAGTGTCCGCGCCAGCCGCCGCCTCACCCTACACGTCCTCGGCAATAATAAAACTCACTCTCACTCTTTTTTATTTCGCTCTCACTTTGTCTCATGCCCTCTCT